CTCCTTTCACCACTCTACTCGTAAGTCCTGTGCTAGATCAAAATTCTCGCACCATTAAACCTTGTCTTCCACCACTAATTTTTTTTATTCTGGTGAGCCACATTTGTGCCAATCATTTTCTAACAAAATGCTCACTTTTGTCATTTCCCACTGAGGAGAGTAAGGTGGCTTTTGTGATAAACTTGCTTTGAGAAAAAGCGGCACTTTGGTGTACCACAGTTTGGGAGCAAAACCCCCCTCGCTGTGCTTCTTTTCAAGCCTTTTTGAAGGAGATTAAAAGAGTTTTTAATTGGGCGGTTTCAAGCAGAGAGGCGGCTCGGATGCTCGCCGAACTTTGGCAAAATAACCAGAGCCTTGCTGGTTTCTCTATTAAGTTCCGTACTCTAGTGGCTGAGAGTAAATGGAATGCTGAGGCTCAAAGTGACATGTTTTTTTTCACGCATTATATTTTTTATATTTATTATTTCACGGATTATATTTAAGATGAAATTTACACTCTGGAATTTCTGAAGACGTTAGATGGCCTCATCGATCTGGCCATCAGAGTGGACACCAGGTTACAACTCAGGGAGCTTCACACACGACAATTCAGGATGTTTCGTCTGTCCCAACCTATTGCTGTACATGCCCTTAGTGGTCTCGTTCTTCCTACTATCACACTCCAGAGGACCCATAAGAATTATAACTTCCATTCTGAATCTATAATTTTTTTTTTAACATAGACTATCACTCCTGTGGTCCTCGGGCATCTCTAGTTGATGTTACACAAGCCCCATATAAATCTGGGTCATAATTCAATATTTTCGTGGAGTGACAGTTGTCACGAGTCTTGTCTTATGTCTGCTTGTTCCGCTGTTTCTTGTTCTGTGTTATTCTTGTAGCCCCTGATTCTTCACGGCAGTTTGTGGTGGAGGTCGATGCATTAGAAGTGCTATGCTGTCCTAACGCTCCTTCTCGGATGGCAAGATTCACTCTAGTATGTTTTATTCTTATTGTTTATCCACAGCCAAACAAAATTCCGACATTAGTAATAGAGAGTTGTTGGCCATCAAGCTTACTTTAGAGGAGTGGCATCATTGGTTAGAAGGGTCGGGGGTCCCTTTTACTGTTTGGACCGATCACAAGAATCCCCCCAAAAGATTAACTCTAGGGAGGCTAGGTGGTCTTTATTTTTTGAAAGGTTTAATTTTACCATCTCCTATCGATCCAGGTCTAAAACATCAAGTCCGACACATTATTTTTCTGAGCACGAATCGTCACTCGAACTTGTTGTGCTAAAGGAGTACCAGAGGAGTTTCGGTCTGACATTAAAGTATCTTGTCATCCAGGGGTTAGTTGCAAATCATTTGTTATTAAACAATATTCTGGTGGCCAGCTATGGCTTGTGATGTACGTGATTTTGTCTTGGCTTCTTTGTCTTGATTCTGTTTTGCAGTTTCTAAAACTTCCAATTTCCCTCCTCATGGGTTTCTTCATCCACTCTCAGTACCTTTGAGACTCTGGTCCCACACATCGCTAGATTTTATTACAGGCCTCTATACTCTAATGGCAACACAGGTATTTTGACCATTGTGGACTGGTTTTCGAAGGCTACTCATTTTGTTCCTCTGCTCAAATTACCCTCAGCCAGAGAAACAGCGGTTGCGGTCATTAATCATTTTGCATTTATGGCCTCCCAACGGACGTGGTCTCTGACAGAGGTCTATCCTTACCCTAATCCTAGACCTAGCCCTAACCTTAACCCTAACCTCTACCCAAGTCTTAATGTTAACCTTAACCCTAGTCGTGACTCTAAGTCTTACCTAAACCCTAGCCCTACTCTTACCTCTACAACTAACCCTTGCCCTAACCCTATTCCTAATTCTAATCGTAATCCTAACCCTAAACCGTACTCTAACCCTAACTGTAATCCTAGCGCTAAACCCAACCCAAATCGTAACCAATTTCTCCTTCACCCCTATAAACCAATCTCTCTGGGAGATTATAAGAACCCTAACTCTGACTTAACACTGATCACAATATTTTGGATAAAAACCTTTGTATAGCCACCCCTTCAAAAACCCAATTTCTATAGGATAGTAAATTGTTTAACCACATAAATAATATAACCCAATGGGACAAACAAATAAAATAAAAACACTTTTGCTCATTAAAAAACATATTGTAACTCTATTTTATATTATATATTATTATAAGCCTTTGGAGTTCTCATTTGAGAAAGAGAAATAAAAGTCTTATATACTAACTAGCACATTTTTTTCTGATAAGAAAAAAATTAATTTTTCAAGGTAATATATACTAGAAAAAAAAAATTCACATCAGACTGATACATTTATTACTTTAAAGAACAACAATGCAGCTTTTATTGAAAGAAGACAGGTAAAGATTGAATCATCTCAGAGAGAATAAAACTTAGGAATGATCATGTCATGATGAATTAACAAATAAACAGGATCATGATGTGTAATGCATTTGTAAAATAAACATTATTTGTGGCATTTTATTAGCAGCAGTGTGAATTTCTATTTTTTACCCAGGTTGTCCTCCTGCCGATAAGGATAAGAGATGTGCTGGCCATTTGAGACATGGAGAGTAATTAAACTATGTGGGGTTCTTCTTGGCGGATCTCATATAGAATTTCCCCTAACCTATCCTTAACCCCTAACCCTAACTCTAGCCCTAGTCCTAACCCAAACCTTTGCCCTAGTGTAATGATGAATCAGAGGGATGTGGATCCATTTGCAAGCTTTATTAAAAACACAGTTATGGAAACACAGAGAGCAGAAAAACCAAGGACAAGCAGCAATAATTCAGAAACGGTAGTGGAGGCTTTGGTCAGGGCAGGCAGCCTACAGTCAGGAATGATAATACAGGCGTTATAGGGCAGGCAGCAAACAATCAAAAAACGGGCAGGAAGGCAATCGGCAACAGAAAGGCAGTCAGAAATAGTAGGAATGCTCAGAAATGGTTGGTAGCAAAACAAGACTTGGCACTGAGTCCTTGCACTGAGCTGGTATTTAAGCACCCTGCTAATAGACATCAGGTGCAGCGCTATCAGAGTCAGACATGTGGCTAATATTCAGGAAATGAGGGCCTCTGCTGATTGGTGAGGGGATATGCTGGGACCGAACCAGTGACACCTACTGTAGCGCTAGCCTTTACCCTAGCCTTAGCCCTAGCCCTAACCCTAGCTGTAGCCCTATTCCTAACCCAAAAACTACAGATTTAATTGTTCTAGAACAAAATATAATCTCACCTTTTTTAAAAAAAAAAATCGATTATAGCTATATGTTTTTTCTTTTGTGGCATCATGTAAGCTAATATCCACAGTGTAGGCCTATTTCTCTATTTTAAAATACCATCATTATTTTGTTTATATTTTGAGCACACAAAATAAAAGCATTGTTTTGAGTGATATAATTTGTATAGCCTACTGCTATCAATGATCATTGATATGTCCTATGGTTTCGAAACAGGAAATCATCTTCTGAGCCAGGGGAAAATTGATGTGTAGTTAGTGAATGCTTAGTATTTTCCAAATATCTGCAAAGGTTAGATTGCTTTTAATTGTAACAACAATGCTTAGTAGAACTGTTTCATTAAATGCCTTCATACATATCTGATAAAGTGTCAATTGATTTGTTTGTGTCCAAGCAAACATGCCATGGTGAAATAATTTTTATTATAATTTTAGTGAGCTTTTTGAGGTATATTATTCATATATATTTTATGCTTCTAATAAAATAATATTAAAAGTAGTGGTGGGCCGTTATCGGCGTTGCCGTTCTGCTTTAACACAAGACTCAGATCTGACCTGAAAAGATCAGATTCCATGCGGTTTGGGCTGTTCACACTGTCATCACCTGAGTCACATGAGGGGAAAAAAATCTGATTCGGGCCACATTTGCCTGCAGTGTGAACGTAGAAGTCCTACATGACAAACATAATAGTTTGATTGTGGTGTTTACTTCAATAATGCCTCTAATATATGCATACTCTACATCTTAATTTCATTTCTGTTTAGTTCTGTTATGACTTTAGATGGATTAAGGTGATCAAAAATCGCAGCTTCAAGCTTATGTAGACTTACAGTTTCAAATTCACGTTTAACTGAATAAACAGTTAGTAAACACAAGTAAATCTTATTGAACATCATTTATTTTTATCACCAATTATCATAATAGAACAGTTTCTCAAGCAGTTTGTGATGCATTTTGGAAGCAGGAGATGAGCCCCTGGTCTAATGTGCAAACTGGCTTGAGAAACACGTTCTCAAATACTTATTATTTGGGTAGCACACATATTCTGAATGCCCTCAGCAGAATTCAAATTAATCTAGATAAATTCTGAGATTAATCTAAATTAAAAAAATTAATCTATGCCCACCTATATGTTAAAGCCATAGTAGCATTTCATTTGTCAGAGCTATGTCTTTAGATCGTGATTTTCAGTCTATCCACAACATTTTGAAAAAATATTTTTAGTGAACAAATTGATTAGGCAATCATAATTAGCCTATTTAATTTCCTCTCATGCTATAAACTGGAACACTTCATCACGTTCATTCATTTGCGCAATCTAAGTAGCCATATCTGAATTAGGTCAAAATAACTGACCCTAATTTTTAAATATTTAAAAAATATATATTTTTAATACATTTTGGTAATACATTTGTTTTAAAACACATTTCTAAGCATATTACTTTAAATAACCAATTTCTAATGACTGATTTATTTTATTTTTGCCATGGTAACAGTACATTATACTTTACAAAATATTTTTCAAGATATTGGTGTACAGCTTTACCCCTGTGTATTGACTACTATTTCATTATGTTCGTGGCTGTTTTTGCCCCGTTGACTCCCATTATAAAGGCATTTTTTACAAAGCCATGACACCAAACAAATCATGCATTCTTGGTTGTTCTCTCTCACACACTTACACATGTACACACAGGTACACACACACAATTACTCAAATACATTGACTAAACACTTATTAGACATAATCTTATTTATTGAACCAAAATATTTATTAAACAGCAACAGCTATTAGAAAAGTCAATAAAGTGTTCAGTCAAAGGCAGTAATAAATACAGCATAAACATTTAGCAAAGCTAAACATATCTCTTTCATATCTTTTTTCCTTAGTATGTTACATATCTGCAATGGTCACCTTGTTCCTGTCAAAGCATTATCATTATTAAAGTCATTTACACTGAAACATTCTAACCAAGTTTCAATGCTTCCCTATTTTTTCTACATTACTGATGTTTTAATTAAGCAACTTATCTGGACATGCATATAGAACTCACTTACAGTTTACTTGCCCAAATGTTATAAACATGACTAATCTTTTGTTTATGCAATTAATGTAGTTAATGCATATTGTTACAGTAGTTCTTTTTAAAAGAAAAGATAACAAAAATAAATACATATTGTAAGAGCTTTGTTTATCATTTTGTGATCTGAGCTCATTTTAAATACACATGGTAACTGTTCATATTATAATGTTTACACAAAAGTAAATAATTCACAAATATGCTCATAGAAAAAACAAAGAAGCAGGGTATAAAGATTCAAGTTATGCAATTTGTTGTTAGTTAGCCAAAGGAGTTGAAGAGGTCACCATCTTTTAATGTTTTAATTGCTTGATGACGTATGCAGGTGTTATCATCTCTGTCTCTGTTTTCTCCTCCTCGTCAATAAGATGTTGAATATAGCATGAAGTACCCACTAAAACATGACCAGTGGTCTGCATAGTGAAGAGAGTCCATCTTAGTGCTTCCCTTTTATTACAGAGAACAAACGTTCAGTGACAAATAAACCGATATTTCTTTATTATAATATATTAATGTAAATGAACTAAAACTAATTCTTCTTTAAAAGAAACTTAATTTACAGAGCATGCATGCACATACAAACTTACCTTAGCATTCGTTTTGCCTTGTAGCAGTGCAATACATATGACACAGAGTACATTCCATACAAGGTTGCCTGCACATTTAGGCAGCCAATAAAATCCTGTGGATGTTTTTTGTAAAGATCAAAGGTCAGTTTGGCAACATCTTTCCTTGGCTGTGTCCAGTTGCAATCAGGGTCTTTCTTGGTCATGCGTTTCTTTGGAATAATAAAAGAGAAATTTGTTAAAGATAAAAAAACTACATATATAAAAAATACAGACAAACAATCAAACACACTGCTATTGTCAACGACTCGGTCCCAGTCATTCCCCTCGCTGGCCAGCAGAGGCCGCCATCTCCGGACTTCTAGCATTACATCATCCACTTACGCTGATTGTGCACACACCTGATCTGAATCTTGTTAACGACCCATGTACCTCCTATCTCATAAGCCGCACTCAAACACTCAGTGAGTGCGAAGTCTTGTATAGCCCCGGCCAGCATTACTGAGCGTTATTCCCTGCCTGATCTCTTGTGTACAACTCCAGCCCGTTTCTGACTCTGCTTCGCCTTCTGCCTGCCCACGACCCAAGCCTGATACACGGACTCTGATACTCGCTGCCTGCCCACGACCCAAGCCTGATATACGTACTCTGATACTCGCTGCCTGCCCTCGACCCAAGCCTGATACACGGACTCTGATTCTCGCAGCCTGCCCTTGACCCATGCCTGGTAAATCACTCTGTGTCTGTTTGCCGCCAGCCTTGAAACCTTTAATACTACTGTGGATGTGTGTTTGCACCTTGGTGCATATTGTGTGTTTGAGTGAGAGCTTGATTAATAAATACTGCATAATGGATCCCTCCGTGTCAGTCTCCTCGTTACAGCTATCTACTTTATGGTGTTTACAAAATGTCAACACCTGTGGATAAAACAAAGGTGGTTTATTTATAAACAAATTTCGAGAGGATCACGTGCTTATGATTGATCATGGCTGGTACCGAATCAGCTTCACACATTACGCCAATCAGATAAATACTAATTCATTATAAATAACCAGAGTTTATCACTTCAGTCATCTTTGTCTTGAAGAACCCGCCCTTCCACCCCTACTCCTCCCCCTTTTCCTTGTAGGGCGGGACAGTGGTTAGCACTAATGCCTCACAGCAATAAAGCCACTGGTTCAAGCCCTCACCGGGCCCTGTGCGGAGTTTGCATGTTCTCCCCATGCTCCCCATGTTTTTCTCCAGATTCCCTGGTTTCTTTCCACCGTTCAAATACATACCATATAAGTAAACTAACTAATCCAAAGTGGCATCATAAGACAAACTCTTAGCCAGCTATATCTCTTAGCTATTCCTTGCACGTACACGACTAAGCTCAATCTCCTCTCTCGCCCTTCAAACAGAAAGGAGCCCCGAGCCCGAGGATATTCTGAGCTCAGAACTCTCTCCTAGGACAGTATTCCAAACACTCTTTATTTTCAATCATCAGCTAAGTGTGAACTCTTGAAGCATGGTTAAAGTTAAACCTAAAGTTGTAATTACAGTTCACTCTGATAAATAAAATGTTTCTTTCAGAACTCAAACTTGTAGTTGGTCTAGTATTGTGAGACACACTTTCCCCCCAAAAAACAGCATGAAGACACACCATATGTCGCTGACCAGCTTTTATCAGATAAGAACCAATGAATGTATCTTTTGTTGAGTAAGCAATTTCTGCATGCACTGCAATGGTCTTAACTCTTAGTTATTTGAGTGAAACTATTTATTGAGATGGACAGATAGAGTCAAGATGGGTAATGTTTGTAATAAGGTATACATGTGTATAGACAATATCTACAAACATTATTCAGCAACAAAATATTTGTGTTGCCTTTTTATTTGTTGGCTAGCAAAATGTTCACTGCAAGTGCAATTCCCTCAGATTATTTTCTGAACTTTTTATACCCGCTCTGTTTTTTAAATTTTTTTATCTGAGATATAATGAGTAAGTTATTGCCCCAGATAGCACATGGATTCCTCTCTTTTATCTGATTAAGAAGAGCATGCAGTGGTTGCAGATGATTAAGCAAAGGTCACGTATAATTTATGTAGAGCATTACACATTGATTATTTGAGATACTGTGTTGATTTAACTATGTGTGAATAGCGCTTTAATACAAACTTTATAACTAAATCAAAATACTGAAAAGAGTGTGGGATTTTAGTTTTCCTCATTGCCATCTTTTACTCAAAGCAAAGTATGAATGGAGAGGAGTGGATAAAAACTGATAATCAAACTGATAATGACAGAGTAGAAATGCCATTTCAGAGTGGAAGCAATTTTATTTTAGCATTATTAACCAAATATTTATTTTCAGTTTACTAACTTCCACAGATGCATTGTTTACATCAACAATATTTATGTTGACAATATGTGTGTACTATGTATGCAACATAGTAAGTACTGTAAATTCTGAATTTATGGCAACTGTAACCAGATTTCCTATAAGGCAGACTACATTTAATTTTGGAACAAAGCTTATCTGCTGTTTTCTCAATGATTCAAAGCATCCTTCCACTTTATTACAATTAGTGAAACCAGTCCTTTTAAATGATAAGGTTGCTACAAAAAATTATTTGTCAGTTTGACATTGTGTTTGATCTATCAATTTGTATTTATTAGTTTGACTTTATGTTGAACTGCAGATTTTCTAATATGCTCTTTTTTTAGCAGCCAGGAAAATAATGTAACACTGAATGTTTCACTGTGAGATTGGTATCATATGAGGAAGCTGTGTTCTATTCCTCCTGATCATTCATTTATTTAACCATTTACTTATTTATTTTTATTCTTTTTAAAGCACTTTACAATGAAACTGTCTATGCTTTTAACTTCTAATCTTAGTCTATACATGAATGTTTCTAAATTGTGAAAAATATATTCATTCATTCATTCAATCATTCATTCATTCATTCATTCATTCATTCATTCATTCATTCATTCTTTTATTCATTCATTTTCCTTCAGCTTAGTCCCTTTATTCATCAACTTTATTCATTTTACGCAGTGGATGCCCTTCCAGCTGCAACCCATCACTGGGAAACGCATATACACTCACATTCACACACTCTAAGGCCAAGTCAGCTTAACTGATTCACCTATAGCGCATGTCTTGGGACTGTGGGGAAAACCGGAACACCCAGAGAAAACCCATGCAAACGTGGGGAGAACATGCAAACTCCACACAGAAATGCCAACTGACACAACCTTCTTGCTGTGAGGTGAAAGTGCTAACCACTGAGCCACTTTGTTGCCTAAGTTATATTAATACTAGTAAAAAATTATTCGTATTGAAATGAGGTAAAAAGCTGAACTATGCTTATATGTGTGTTTTTTATTCCTTGGAAGAGAAATTAACAATGAACCATGACTTCAAAGATGGATGAGGTGCTCTTTCCAGCCATATGTTGACACTTACCCTCTCTACTTTCTTCTGACCTGGAAGGTGTTTCTGAAAAAACAAAATACATGGTATCATTTATGTGTATTGACCTCTTATAGCACAGGTGTCAAATCCAGTTCCTGGGGGCCGCAGCTCTGCATAGTTTAGTTCCAACCCAGCTTCAACACACTAAAGCCACGGTCACACTGGACTTTTCTCCACATAGATCGGAGATCAAAACATGCAACTGCTCACTTTTTTTAATGTCTAATCAACTCGTTCATTCATTCTTTTATTCATTCATTTTTCTTCAGCTTAGTCCCTTTATTTATCAACTTTATTCATTCTACGCAGTGGATGCCCTTCCAGCTGCATCCTGCCCCATTTCGCAGCGTCCTACGACAGAATTTCACATGCTCAAACTCTAGTGCGACTGCAGCTTTACCTGTAGGTTTGAATCAAGCCTAAAGGACTTAACTACAGTACTTTTATCAGGTGTGTTTAATTAAGGTAGCTACAGTAAACTGTGCAGAGCTGCGCTCCTCCAGGAAATAGATTTGACACCTGTGTCCTATAGTATCGTCATTAATTCCATATGCACAGAGGTTCTTAAAAGAATGAGTTACACAATCTGTGTTTTATAGTGAGGTTGGGTGAAATTCAACATAAAAAAGTAAAATTCCTAAGTCTAGACAGTGGGCGAAGCAGTGGCGCAGTAGTAGTGCTGTCGCCTCATAGCAAGAAGGTCGCTGGGTCGCTGGTTGGAACCTCAGCTCAGTTGGCATTTCTGTGAGGAGTTTGCATGTTCTCCCTGCGTTAGCGTAGGTTTCCTCCGGGTGCTCCGGTTTCCCCCACAGTCCAAAGACATGCTGCAGGTGAATTGGGTAGGCTAAATTGTCTGTATGTATGAGTGTATGAGGGTGACAGGTCGGAATGTGTAAAAAAATTGTTATCATATGGACAAGTCTAAAATGGCTTGTTCCAAAGAGCTGACCCCGCAACCATATGGGACTAAGACCAAAGAAGAAGCAGTAAGTCTAGATAGTATGTCTGTGCTCTGATATGTAAAACAACATTTTTAACGAGATTTCAAATGTGTGCAAGTGTGTTAAAAAGTAGAGTTGCCAAAGTGGATAATGTAAATGATATGCAAGACACGGCTACTACTTGCTGATGTTGTGTGTGTGTGTGTGTGTGTGTGTGTGTGTGTGTGTGTGTGTGTGTGTGTGTGTGTGTGTGTGTGTGTGTGTGTGTGTGTGTGTGTGGATGTGTGTGTGTGTGTGTGAGTGCGTGCGTGCGTGCGTGCGTGTGTGTGTGTGTGTGTGTCTTCTGATGTACAGTATAATGACTGGTTTACTGCAGTTGTGAAGTGCTGGAAGTGTCAACCTAAATGTTTTTTTTTTCTCTATTGACTACTTTAAAGGGATAGTTCACCCCAAAATTAAAATGTACTCACTATTTACTCACTCTCAATTTGTTCCAAACCTTTTTTCTGTTGAACACAAAAGAAGATATTTTGAAGAAAGCAGAAAACCTTTAACCATTGACTTTGAAAAAAAAACAAAAAACAAATAATATGTAAGTTAATAATTAGGGGGGTTTTCAACATTTTTCTAAATAACTAATAGTGTTAAAAAAGAAACTCACAAAGGTTTGAAACAAGAAAAGAGAGAGTAAATGATTATAGAATTTTCATTCTTGGTTGAACTTTCCCTTTAAGGGTTTGTAGTCCTAACAAAGAGAATCGAGGGTTTTGTAGTTTGTGAGCAAGAGTAAACATGGTGTGCGATATGGGTGAGATGACTTGAGTTTAAAAGCGTTCTCTTTGTTTTTGTCACTTTCACCCAGAAATATGTTCTTCACAACACTGCTATGTGTTGAAGGAAATAGACTAGGAATGTTTTCAAGAAACTCTTTTGCTTGGTCTTAGTTCTAAAGTGCATGTTTTGACATGTTGACAAGCAAAAGAAATGTACTGTATGCACTTGACTGTTTTGAAATTAATATTAAAATCAAAACAGGGCTCCCAATGCGTCTGAGAATGTTTACATTGGTTCATTTATGTACATACTGTAATAAAACCTACTAACTACTTATAAAATTGCATCTTTGCAAGATATGTTAACATCTAAACCACCTGAAAGTATTTGATCTAATAATAAAGTTGAGTTGCAGTACTTTCAAATAAAAAATCACTATCACTATCTTTACAGAATTACAAAGATTCTCAGATTAAAAACTGACCGTTTGTGGGGCCCATTTCTGTCCTTTCCCCAGCACCATGAGGACAGTGTTGTCTTTTAAGGTTTGAAAAAAGTCCTGCGTATCTATTCCAGTTCCATCCTCATCCAACACCAAAGCACTGATACAGTGTATGTGGAATACATCCATCACCTAGGCAGGAAAATATGCAAGTTGAATTTTCATAACAGAAAAGAGCAGTTTACAATTATTTCTGACAAACTATTAAACCAACAGCCTCGCTTTTCAGTTTTCAGCGACATTGCAAAATAATGAGCCATTCTAAATGACTATGGCTTGTTCAGAAGTAGGCTAAAAAGGATGACCCTTTCTGCCATAACAGTTACTGCCAGAACTCATTTAGTTTCCCCAAAAGGCTGGTTATCCAGGAATGATAAAAGAACAAAACAACAGGATAATGCAGATAATCCAGCCTGATCTCACGAGAAAACGTAAGTATTTTACGTTTTGCCAGTTTAGTGGCTAATTCGTACGAATTCGTACGAGTTCAGTCGTATGAAATGGTACGATTTTAAAAAGGAGGCGTGGCACCTGACCCCACCCCTCACCCCAACCGTCATTGGGGGATAAGCAAATCGTACTAAATTGTACGAATTAGATCGTACGAATTCATACGAATTAGCTACTAAATGAAAAAGTTACGAAATTGCCGTGAGATTGTGTTGGATAATCTTATTGGGCAACTGGTTACAGCTGAAATTACTCATCATTCATTCAATATAAAAACAACATCTGTATTTTGGCATTCTGTGTTCTTCTATGTTTAAGATCATTTGGACTATAAGTCCACTATGAAGTGACCAAAGCTCTCATCAACAAAAAGAATCAAAAGACTAGACAAACATTTACTGAGGAGCAAGACCACAAAATAGCAGTGTGACAAACTAGGGATATCCTGTGGCAGCAGATGTGCTAAAAAAACATTAAGCAAGAACTTACACCTCCAACTAAATTTAGATTGCTTTAAACTTTAGACATGTCAGTTATCATCGTTCTTCGTGCTAAAATCAGCATTATTCTGTCATTTTGATCACTATGATTTTAACAAAATTAAGCGCCTTGGTGGCGATGCGGTGGGGCACTAGGTAGTGCTGTTGCCTCACAGCAAGAAGGTCGTTGGTTTGAGTCTTATGAATGAATAATGAATGAATAAGTACATTGGTTAAATACTGTACTACTAGCATGGTACAACTGAAATTACTTCAAAATTGAATAATGAAGATGAAGAGAGTGTGTGGGTGTTGCAGCTAGAAGGACATCTGCTATGTAAAACATATACCAGAATAACTGATGGTTCATACCTCTGTTCCGACCCCTGATAAAGCAGGAAATAAACGGAAAGTGAAATTCATTCTCATCTCTAGTGTATATCTTAAATTATTTTAAAAACCCATATTTTTTGAAAATTCTCTTCACTAACTCTACTCTCCTAACATGAGACGGTAACACTTTATTTTGATGGTCCATTTAAGTATTAGACTGTCTGCTTAATATCTGTTAATACTGCTTATTTATTAGACATTTAACTGACTATAAGAAACTTAGCAGGTACATGTCAACTTACACTAAACCTAACCCAACTCTGACCCCATCCTAACTGTATAATCTAATGAGAATTAGTTGACTTGTATAAGCAATGTAAAATATATTCATCAAACAAACCATCAAAATAAAGTGTGACCCATTAGACTTCCCAGCAAACTATTTTGTGTTTAATAAAAATCTAAACGTAGACAGCTTGGCTAAAACTTAGGCTGTCAGTGAATGTTTAATAGACATCTAAGAATAGCCTAAAACTAATATGTGTAGTCATTCCGTTCTGTTTTTTCAATGACTAGTCTAGTTTTAGTCTATTCTTAGATGTCCATTATATGTTCACTGACAGCCCAAATTTAGCCTTGTTGTAGTCAAGATGACTGTGTTTAGACATCTATTAGACATCTTTCAAAAACAAAAACATGTTTGCCGGGTTCTTTCTTAGTATTTCACTGTATATAGAAATACAAAAGAAAAAAATTATTCACACTCTCTTTATTCTTTGTCCTTAAATTACAGTCTTCACCTTGTGGTGCAGGTCTTCTAGGTCATCTGCCATGATGCCTTTTTTTATGGAGCGATCAGAGTTGATGACACGGAAGGGTCTGGAGTGCTGAGTCCAGCGTGGTAATATTTGATGCGTCACAGAACCACAGGCTGATATGCATCTGTGGATGGTGACACACAACGCACATACTGTACACGCAAAATGGCTTGAAATCCCAGTTCCCAGTTTTAAATGTACATATATGAAAAGGTTTAATCTAATCATAAACAACAAATTTTTTATAAAAGAAACAATAATAATGCTTACTTTGACAGGGATGTTGAGAGCACATCAACAGATTTCTTGGCATTTTCCATTTGAATGAACAATGAATAGGTCTGACGCAACCTTTAAAAAATACAGGAAATTATTCTTTAATAGTTATCATTTATATTTTGTTTCATTTATATAGCAAATGTATTCATATTGAAAACAGTTTACACATTAACATAACACCATCAAAAATAACAACCAAAATATTTCTTAATATAAAAGAAGTATACTGGGAACAAAAAGTGAAATATTGTTGATTAAATCTGTTAAGAACATTAGAATAAAAAAAATTACAATATCTCTGTTAAAACATTACACTATAAACATAAAATATCTTAATTAAGAACTTTACAATATAAAATGAATGTATGTCTAGTAGTTCACAATAATTATATATCCACAATACCTTAAAGAAATGTCTTTGGTCCCGTTTTTTGTTCTGGTGTTGTTCCGTATTTACAGCAGATCCGTCTGTCTGGTCTCTTCATTGCCTTGGAGTTTTATTGCAAAACTTATTTTTTCACCTTTGCTCCACTATGATGACAAGATTGTTGGGTCATACTATGTTGAGTAATAATGTTAGCCTCTCAGTCTCAGCTAACATCACAAGACCATTTGTAGGTAAGTCAGTGTTGGATTAATGGATTAAGAGTCTTTTACAGGAAATGTATACAGTTGAAGTCAGAATTATTAGCCCCCCTTTGATTTATTTATTTTTTTAAACATTTCCAAAGTGATGTTTAACAGAGCAAGAAAATTTTCACAGTATGTCTGATAATATTTTTTTCTTCTGGAGAAAGTCTTATTTGTTTGATTTCGGCTAGAATAAAAGCAGTTTTAAAACATTTTAACGTCAAAATTATTAGCCCCTATAAGATATATATCTTTCGATAGTCTACAGAACAAACCATCGTTTTACAATAACTTGCCTAAATTACCCTAACTGCCTAGTTAACCTAATTAACCTTTAAATGTCACTTTAAGCTGTATAGAAGTACCTTGAAAAATATCTAGTAAAATATAATTTACTGTCATCATAGCAAAGATAAAATAAATCAGTTATTAGAAATGAGTTATTAAACTATGATGTTTAGAAATGTGTTGAAGAAAACTTCTCTCCATTCAATAGAAATTGGGGGAAAAAATAAACAGGGGGGCTAATAGCTCTGACTTCAACTGTATATTTACATCCAGAATACAGACAGAATAAAAAAAGGCTTTTATTTTACAAAACAACTTATGAATTTCTATTAAATTCACCCTATTTTAGATTGATAAATTATACATACACTATACAATATTACACAGTTGAAGTCAGAATTATTAGCCCCCTGAATTATTAGCTCCCCTGTTTATTTTTTCCCCCAATTTCCGTTTAACGGAGAGAAGATTTTTTTCAACACATCTCTAAACAGGATAGTTTTTTAAAACTCTATTAAATAATTTATAGAGGAAATTTAATGTAAGTTAATTTAAAGTTGGGTGTATTTAAATAAGCTCCAGTATTTCTAAATGTCCACATTAAAAATGTAATAGGTCTGGCAGAAGAAGCCCCTTCTCTGACCCTCATTGAAGAAGGTTCCATCTATCAGATTCAAGAAGTGCTGAATTCTAGATGGTGTATAGGAAGGCTAAAATATCTGGTCAACTAGGAGGGGTATGGTCCTGAAGAGAGGTCATGGGTTCCCCAAAACGACATTCTGGACCTGGTTCTGCTAGAGCAGTGGTTCTCAAACTGTGGTACGCGTACCACTAGTGGTACGCGGGCTTCCTCCTAGTGGTACGCGGAGGAATCGCCAAATAATGAAATAATTAACACTTTTAATCTTTTGATGTGTACTATAACATCGATGTGATCTGCATTGGCTGTTTTGTGTAGAGTACGATCAAAGCGCTGTGCTTAGAGTGTTTATTTTAGTGCAATGTGTCATAAACTGTTGAAAAATCAGATTCTGAAGCGTGATTTGACTGACAAGAAAAGTGGCCAATCACAGTCGACCTTGTCAAGTTTTGCGTGAAACGTAAGGGCGGGACAAAGGCTTTCTGAGTTGCAGAGACAGCAAAAAAACAACTTAAAAACAAATGTTTTGTTGGAATAATGCTTCCTGGATGTTTTCACTATATAGACGTCTAGCAGAGTAATTAAACCGCGGACATATTTCCTGCCTATTTGATGATCTACATACACGTTTTGCTCTTCGACAGCGAGTCGACTCGCCTCTGACCTGTCACTCCTCTAAACAGTATGAATGGCGCCGCGGGAATGGAGGTATTGCGCAATAACTCATTTCTGGAAATGTGGCGAGTGCTTTATTTTAACACGAGAGCGCATTCATATACGCAAATCACTAAAACAGACATGCAAGCTCTTAAATAGGCTTTTTTCAAATGAACTGCAAGACCTCTCATGATCGCTTTTGTGCTCAGATTGAATACAATCACGACCTTTCCACTATTAAAGTAGACATTATTTATCTTTGCTCCTTTACTAAATTTAGTCAAAAGTATTCAGTTATTAAGTATTTTGAAATAGATTGATTTTACTTTTTTTTTTATTACTTTTAGCAAAGGTGGTAGCTTTTTTATTTCTTTACGACAAAATAATTATGCTGGAAATGTTTCTGGATGAGGTATTTGTGTGATTTATACATTTAGCTGTATACTGATCTGTCTTAAAGCATTACAGGTCAAAGCAATCCGTTGTTACTTATTGTTTGTCAAAATTAACAATAAGGCTCTTAAAGCACTGCTTTGATAAATGTATTGTTGTCATATTTCAAATACCTCAAGTAAAATAGTCATTTGTTTAATTTTTTTACTGACAGTGTACTTGTATTTTTTGTAAAGTTTGTATTTTAGTTTAAGATCAAGTATAAAATAAAATCTACATGTGATATACAGCTATTTAAGAAACAAAATTGCCATATTGTAAAGAAAAATGGTGTAAAATATGTAAATAAAAGGCTAAATTTAAATCTTTTCATCATATAGTTTAATTAAACTTTTCAAAGCTTGAAAATATTGTTTAAAAAATGGGCAAAAAGTGTCTCTATGGCCTTAAAGATTATGTGGTAGTTTTGCTATTGCTTTTGAAAAAGATTAATTGTCATGAAAGGAACAAATTGACCATACTTCCTTTGTTAGTGCATATTCCTTTACATGTAGCTTTGGGATTTAAGCAATTAAACCATTCAATCAGGTTTAAACTGAAAAAAAAGTGATTTCATAATGAAAATCTGATTTTTTTTTCCCAAAAGTAACCAACTAGTACTTTTTAAAAGAGTACTTTGTACTTTTACCAAATATTAGTATTATTTACTAAAATTTGGGTTATTTTAGCAGTGTAATAGTATTTTTACTTGAGTACAACAAATATTTCACAAGCATTTAGTGCAGGTTTATTATATTATTAATATATGATTAATAAATATTATTATTATTATTATTAATGCTTTATATTTGGATCAATTACTATGGAATTTTTTATGGGTTGCTGAGAATACATTTCAGTTCTTCAATACATAGCATGTCAGTCTTGAAAATAAAAAATAGGTGCTTAAAATTCCTTGATTTTCATTAGGCTGTGCCTGTATGAACCCTGTCATAAGTACATTTAACATACATCTGTCAGAAATCAAGATTTGTCAGAAAGTGTATGAATATGACATATAGCCAATATTTATGAGGTCCAAGCAACATTTCCAGCTTTTGATGAATAGGCTACTATGAATACTTTAGATTTAAGTATAGCAGTTTTCTTTTTACTTTTTAAGAACAGTGCCATTTTTTTTATGAACTTTTAAAAGCACATTTCAATTTAAACGTGTTTTTTTTTTTTTTAAATCTGCAAGCACAGTTAATGTTCAGACTATTTAAAATGTTTAAGTGACTGACAATAATACATATTCTTAATGATAGGAATTAATCTGGCTCGTTTTTAAACTGTGCACAGCTTAATTAGGCCTACAACGCTATTTTTTAATACTGGCCATTATGGTGGTACTTGGAGAGACATTTTTTTTCTAAGGTGGTACTTGGTGAAAAAAGTTTGAGAACCACTGTGCTAGAGGAATTCCATACTGCTCACCACAAATGGGCATATGCCTTGGTGTTCTTACAACCTGGAAGATATGATATGGATCTCTTGAGTTCTTTGATGGAATCGGGTAGTGGCCAAGTGATGGCTTCTACCTCGCCCTCGTACATCTTCACACCATGCTCATTGATAAGAAACCCATCATTAAAGGTGGAAAAAAGATCTAAAATGATTTACAGTAGTTTCATTTTTTTACAACACAAAAACATTGCATTTTAACAGTGGTAGACTTTTATATCCACTGTATATATACAGTGTGAGTACCCCCCCCCCCCCCCCCCCCACAAATCTCTCATTTAAATTAATATTTTCTATAGGATGCTTTACATATAGTTTTGAATGGCAGTTTGTTTTAACAATAAATCCCATATGTTACATTCTTTTTAGTTTCTTGATTACACTGCGAGTACTCTCTTGGAGCTACTGGGGTCCTTCTTGGAGCATGCACTGTTTGAAGACTCTGTTTATTTGTATGCAATGTTCACAAAGTATAGGCAGACTAGTCCTTCAATCATCAGAATCAGTTTTATTGCCAAGTTTGCTTCACACACACAAGGAATTTGTTTTAGCTACAGGAGCTTCCAGTGTACGTAGTGACGAGTAACAACACAAAATAAATATGAAAAAAAAAGACGATAAACATTATACCGAGATGCAGTTAGTCAAAAAATCTGAATGTTGAACTTTAACTGTATATTTACATCCACTGGGTCATATGGTAAATAGACCAATCGTTTGTTACAGAGTGACAGAATTAAAAAAAAGTTATTTATTTTACAAAACAACTTGTGAATTTCTGTTAAATTCACCCTATTTTAGATTTATAAACTATACATACACTATACAATATTACACACAGTTGAAGTCAGAATTGTTAGTGCCCCTGAATTATTAGCTAGCCTGCCAGATTCTGTTAAACAGAGAGATGATTCCTTCATGCCTATAAATTCTTCTATAAACTCTTTGAGGGTCAATTTTTTCTAGGTCAATGGCTCCATCTTGTGGCCTAAGAAACCCATTAAATTGCAACTAGATTTTTGCAGTATTCCTGTGATGCTTAGAGCTTTGTATGGTCTCTCTGGCAGCAAATCACATTTTAAGTTAAACACAAGTTTAAGTTTGACATTTTTCTTTTTATAGTGTCATTTTCATTTAAAATTTGAAATGTAGTAGGTATTATATCTTTGACCTGTTGTTGCTGTGCTATGCCAAAATAATCTCTTAATTCTTGCTCAATGATGTGCTTTTTTTTTTTTTTTACTCTGATACACTTGGAACCTAGATGTGCACAAGAGATTTTTCTTTTGAAAATTCTTACATTTTCTCAAAGGCAAGACAATTGGATAATACCCCAATAGCTTGCGAATGTTGGCCACC